GGAGAGGTGGAGAAAATTTTGAGGTAATGGCAACTCTGTAGAGATCTGTAATTTCCTAAGCTAAGGAGCCTGTCCTATATTTTAACATCTGATAGGGCAGGTATAGAAAGAGGGTCAGAGGAATTGCATTGTACCCATTTCTTTTGAATCCCTTGCTCAATGTGGTGCTGTGAAAAAAGTGTGCTTGTGTGCTTTTTAATAAATACTTTATAACTTTTGATGCTGTTAGTGGTTCTCTGTACCACATAGACCTCCACCATCTTGGACATGCTATTTTAAAAGGGGCATCGGGGAAGGCAGGCAGTTGGCAAGTGACTATTCCTCCAGGGGTGTACAAAGCAGTAAACTGTCCCCATGGTGACCAGGTGCTGGGCAGCGGGAGTAACAGAGGCAAGGGCTCAGAATGTGGAAGGGAAGCTGGGAGTCCTGACCCTCCCAGCAGGCAATTCCTACACAGGCCAGGTGGTGGAGGTGGCGGAGGTGGCGGGTTACTGAAGAAAGAGAATAGCCTCTCCAGGTGTTGCGAAAACCTTGGAGAGCAGAGCAGAACAGGCCCATTCCACCACATGGCCTTTTGTAAGATGTTCTCAGATCAGGGTCATTTTTGTAATAGACCTCTAGGGGTCAATAGTCCACACTGTGAAAACTTTTCATTTTCTCGCGTTGAGATAAGAATCTGCAGGACATGCACCAGAAAGATAAGGCAAAGCCTATTTCCTGTTTTTGTCACTACATCACAATGAAAGAGAGTTGAGGACTCTTTCTAACATATGGTAACATTTGCATATGTCATGGTGTTTGCAGGTTATGTCTGGGTTCCCCACCCTTTTTTTTAATCTCATATGACTTGAGGATTCATCTTAGTCCCGAAGTGTGGCACCCAGTTTACAATGAAATCCCAATCTACATTGGGTAACACATGTGTAGGAATTGAGGTGAACTTGCAAATCACATGTTACAAAAAGGCAGGGTGGGGAATCCAGACATAGCCCATGATCTCCATAGTTGTGATTGTTTTTGGTGTGGCTGTTTTTAGTTATTGCCAATGATAGCCCAGTAGGAGGGAGAAGTAGGAAGGCCTCACCTTCCATTTTGTAGGGAAGGATGCCCCCCCCCCAACATGTGCATTACCCTCCACTATTCTGTCACTGTAGCTCGGAATGCCCACAATGAAGGACTGAGCCAGTTTCCTAACTGAATTTGTCATATTTAATTAAAATGACACTTTTAAACGGACATTCTTAATAAGTACCAGGGGTCATTTCGTAGAAAAAGAGATGCAGGAGCTCATTAGCATAACTTATTAACATAAATTATTTGCATATGCCACACACCCTGACATCACCGGACGTGTGTCAGAAGGCAACACCCACCACTCAGGCTCCACTGGACTGTTTTGGATTTTTGTATGTGTTGGGGGGGGGGGGGGGACGTGCAGATCTGTCCTCACAGCGGAGGGAGAGCTTGTACCTGAATAAAACTTAGTCTTAAAAGTGCCACTGGACTGTTTTGGATTGCTAGCTATGGGGGGGACGGGGACATGCAGATCTGCCCTCCCAGAGGAGGGAGAGCTTGTACCTGAAGGTGGGCCGAGGGGGGCAGCTCTGCAACTTACCTGGCTGCTTCTTGCTCCTCTGGCCCAACTGAGGGCTGCTGGGAGCAAGGGGCGGAGCTTGTTGCATGTGCCCACCCCCTGGGCTCCTTACTGCTGGAGCTCCGCTTCTGTGTGCTCCCGCAGGAAATGACTCCTGATAAGTACTATTAAAGCATGGGAGTGAAGCTGTTTTTTTTTTAAAGTTGCTAATATAAAAGTGAGGAGGGACAAGACCAGGCAGTTAAACAACAGGAAATGTGAAGTCTCAATGAGTATTCCAGCACCAGTTAGAGGCTTTGCCTATCTTAGCTCAGTTGGTTTTAATCACAACTCAGTCCTTACCATTGTTACTCTGAAGTCACTCACGCAGATTCCAATGAAGCCTGAGAGCTGGCAGAGTTCTAAAATGGTAGAATGGGCTGTACCACTTTAAACGGGAGAGAGTAAGGGTGGTGTTAGCCAATGGGCAACAGGGGCAGCTGCCCTGGGCCCCACACTTGGAAGGCCCCAACCACCCATGAGCCCTGCGCCCCTCCCAAGGCCAGGGGAAAACAAGAACAAGAGCTGGCTCCCGCAGCTGGCCTCTGGTGGCAGTGGGTGGTGGGTCCTACCCACCTCTCATGAGCCCCAGTGGAGGGGGCAGCAAGGGTAATGGTTCTGGGCCCCATCCAGAACTTTTGCCCAGTGCCCTATAATTTTTTTAATTAAAGCATTTATATCCCACCTTTCCTTGTAGCTCAAGGCAGCTTATAATAACAGTTAAAAACATTTTCAGATACAAACAAAAACAAGATAGCAAATCCCAATTCACTAAGACCGGGTCAGATCTGAACAGAGTAGCCCCCTACAGCCTAGGGTTGCCAAGTCCGGGTTGGGAAATTCCTGGAGATTTTGGGGGCGGAGCCAGGGGAAGGTAGGGTTTGCGGAAGGAAGGGACCTCAGTGAGGTATAATTCCATAGAGTTCCCCCTCCAAAGCAGCCATTGTCTCCAGGGGAACTGTCCGTGTAACATGACATTCCACCCTGGCTTCCAAGTCCTGTCTTTCAAGTGGCATGGGACTTCTGGTGTTTTTCCTCTTCCCCTGGTTATCTTTTAAGTCTCTTTGTGACAATTAGTTATCCTTTAACAACTGCTGTCTGAACTGTGTGAAAGACTCTCCTTAATCACATTCTTTCTTCCAAGGCGTTTTCCCCTTCACTCCTTCACTAGTTACACTGAGGCACCAAGCCGAGAGAGCTTGTTCAAAGCATTCTTCCAGTCTTTTAATTGTCTTGAAATGGATCACCGCTGCTGGGATCATCAGGGGAAGGTTTCAGACGTTAAAAATAACCGTGGAGTCTGCTGAGCGGTGCAGGCAGTGCTGGAGGGGACACTTGGCTTGGACCTGAAGAGCAGCGACAATCACAAGGGGGTGGGGGGGTGGCGGCTTGCCAGAAGAGCCTATGCCTGTTGTCATCATTACCTCAGTCAAATGGCCCTGCCTGCACCACTCATTCTATGATTGCATGTGATTTTTTTTCTATGTATTTAAGTTCTTTTAAAATTTCTTTTTATTTTACACGCACAAAAATTGCAGGAGTGTGTGACTGCACTTGTAGTCAGAAGTGCTTCGGGGAAACTCCCCTTAAGAACTGCTTGTTTGCTTTGGTGTGAGAGAGTGCTTTCGGGGGGACAAGGAGCTTTCAGATTACCTCCTGCCATTGTTCCCTCTAAGGGGCACTAGGGTGTGCTAGCGCACAGATTTCCGAACCTCAGTGAAGGGATTTTCATCCCAGTGCAGTTTTGAGGAGTGGGCAGCTCTGCCCTCCTGTTCAGCCAGTGCCTGCTCTGTGGCCACTATAACAGACAGAGCTGTTGCCTGCTCCCAGCAGTCATGGCCTGCCATCCTTCAGGACAGCAGTTCGTAAACTGCCCCCTTGACCTCTGTAGGCCTCCTGCCCTTGGAGGTCCCACTATGGGCCTAGGCCACACTCCAGAGCTGTCAGGGGGCTGCAGCAGGACCCTCACTGGGAAGGTCAAGGAGGTCTGGGGATGCAGAGATGGCTGAACAAGCCAGCCGGCGGGTGAGTGGGGTGGGCTGGGGTTTCCCCCCAGGCCTAGGCCACACTCTGGAGCCATTGGTGGGGTTGAGCAGGCCCTCACTGGGAAGGATGGAGGAGGGGGTGGCAGAGCTAGCCTCGCAAGCCAGCGGGTAGGTAAGTGGGGTGGACTGGGGGTTTTCCTCGAGCCCAGGCCATGCTCCATAGTCATTGGTGAGGCTGCAGCAGGTCCTTCGCTGGGAAGGATGGAGGTGTGGGGTGCTGGTGAAGCTGGCCTTGCAAGCTGGCAGGTGGGTGAGGGGGGGTGGGCTGGGGGGTTTCCCCAGGGCCAAGGCATGCTCTGGAGCCTTCAGGGCGCTGCAGCAGGCCCCTCACTGGGAAGGATGGAGGTGGGGGGTTGCCGAGCCAGCCTCACAAGCCAGCAGTCGGGTAAGTGGGGTGTGGTTTTTCCCCAGGCCCAGGCCATGCTCTGGAGCCTTGGGGTGGGGGGAGGCTCTGGGCTGCTGGCTGGCCTGGGTGGATGGGATCATGGTCCAGGGTGGCTTCCTTCCTTCCTTCCTTCCTCTTTCCTCATCTGTTTGCTTTCTTTACACCCCTTCCTTCCTTCTTTCACTCCTCTCCCCCATCTATATGCTTTCTTTCCATTTCTTTCTTTCTTTCCCTTTCTTTCTCTCCCTTTCTTTCCATTTCTTTCTTTCCTTCCCTCTCTTTCCATTTCGTTCTTTCCCTCTTTCTTTCCATTTCTTTATTTCCCTTTCTTTCCATTTCTTGCGTGTGTTACAGCACTGGTGCACTATTTTTACTTCTACACCAAGCTTTCAAATTGCAAATTAAAAAAATAAATGTCTAGGAGTGCAATGCTATGCAAAATTACTCCAGTCTAAATCTATTTATTTCCTTGTGCTTAGACTGGAGTAGTGTTGCCAGGTCCATCCTAGCAACTGGCAAGGGATGGAGGGGACTTACCAGGAGAAAGAGAAAGGCCTAGCTCTCATTGTTGGCATCACATAGGAAGTGACATAATCATGCCAGCAATTTCCGAACAACACTCTGGTTTTTGTGCAAAAACTCTATGGTAAAACCAGCTTCTGCCATGGAGTTTTTGCCCAAATACCAGAGCATCACCCAGACATCACTGGTGTGATGATGTCTACTTCCTGTGTGACACCAGCAATGAGGCCTACTCCTTTTTCCTGGTAAGTCCTCCTTGCTGGCCAGCTGATTGATGGCTGGAGGTAGGACCTGGTAGAGGGGGACCCCTGCCTCCACCATGGGGGTCCGGCAACCCTAGACTGGATTAACTCTGCATAGAATTGTGCTGCAAATCCACTCGTTTGCTAAATGTATTCCTTTGCTTCTCTTGCAGGTGGATTCCTTGTCCCTTATCTTATTATGTTGATTGTGGAAGGGATGCCATTGTTATACTTGGAGTTGGCAGTGGGACAGCGCATGCGTCAAGGGAGCATCGGGGCATGGAAAGCAATAAGTCCTTACCTCTGTGGGGTTGGTGCGTTCTCGTTTGTCTTATTTTCCTGATCACCTGGTCCCTGTAGAATTCTTCTGGGGTTCCTGAGAAATGACTCATTCTTCTCAGATCAGCAGAAGGCTCTGCTGAGCCTGTCCATAAGGTGTCCCCCCTCTTCCTCAGGTTACCAGTATCGAGATGGGGCCTGGAGTTCCCCCAGTATTACGACTGATCTCCAGACTACAGAGATCAGTTCCTCAGTAGGAAACGGCTGCTTTGAAGGCCAGACTCGATGGCACCGTAAAGATCAGATCCTTCTGGTCTGGGGAGAGGGCATGGTTGAGTGAAAAGACACTTCCTTGGCCACAGCTTATTCCTGACCTTCTGAAAGGCGACCTTGATTCAAAGTACTTCCAAACAATTATTCTAACGGTGACCCCATTAAGAACAGGCCCTCCTGCTGCCTCATCCAACCTGGGAATAGCCACTAGGAACAACTCCATCCTGTCGTGATTGTCCATTATTTACTTCAAATGAATATTCAAGGTGGGGAGCAGAAAAAACAACTTGTCTTCAGATTGCTGTGAGCATTTTCTGCATATTTAGTAACAGTCAAATGATCAAGGCAAGACAAACTGGCAGCTTGTTCAGGGAAATTTCCCCTGGCCCATATCTGTCTCTCCAGAATCCTGTGACTTCTTTGGGTCAGGTTAATTTCTCAGCCCGCAGAGCTGCTCCTTCCCTCGTTTGAACAGAGAACTACACTCTGTATTCCATCCCTCCTGGAGCACCCTCAGTCTCCCACGGGCTGCTTCTTGGCTCCCCCCCCCCTCTTCTAAATTTAGAAACCAATTTTTTCCTGCATGGACTGAATATGTAGAATCCCCTCATGTGCCTGGAGATAACACCCTTTGGAATCCCTTCGGACAAGCAGTCAACCAAATTATATTTAAAACCTGCAGAAATATGCTCTGGCTTGCTTACAAAAAGCACACAGGCATGCCCTGGCCTGGATAGCCCAGGCAAGCCCGATCTCATCAGATCTCGGAATCTACGTGGGGTCGGCTGTAGCAAGTACTTGGATGGGAGACCTCCTTGAAATATCAGAGGTGGGAGGTGGGAGGCGGGGGCAGGCTTTATTCAGCCACCTCTCTGAATAGCCTCCAGGCCCCCAGTAGGGGTCAGTCAACAGAGGGTCGCCATCAGGGCTATTTTTGGGCAGGGACGCACAGGAACAGAGTTCCGGCTGGCTCCCAAGTTGGCCACGCCCAGCAGGAACTCATTAGCATAACAGGCCACACCCAACAGCAGAAACTCATTAGGATTGGCTACATTAGGGTTTGTGGCCTAACATGCAAAGAAGTTCCTGCTACAAAAAAAGGCCCTGGGTTTTGACAACAAACAAGGTAAACAGAATAACAAGCAAAAGGTGGGTGTGGCTGGATAACCACACTTCTGGTAACATTTGGGTGTGGCCTAATGTGCTAATGAGCTGTGCTGTCAGGGGTGTGGCCTATTATGCTAATGAGTTCCTGCTGGGCTTTTTCTACAAAAAGAGCCCTGGTCGCCATCATACTCTCTCAGCCTAATCTGTTTCACATGGTTGTTGTGAAGATAAAGTGGAAGAGAGGAGAACAATGGGATAAACTGCTTCGGGCAGTACATAAATTAAAAAAACGAGTAGTAGTTACTTCTGAGATATGATACAATTGAAGGTCGAGGCCAGTGTTCATGAATGTCCCTCTTTGTATTTTCAGGAATTGCCAGTGTAGTTGTGTCCTTTTTCCTCTCTATGTACTACAATGTCATAAATGCTTGGGCTTTCTGGTACCTCTTCCATTCGTTTCAGGTGAGAAATAGAATACTATATATAAGGTGCACAAAATCATCTTTCCATCCAGGGGAAAGGGTATTCTGAACAGTTCTGCAAATGTATTTGTTGTTGTCCAGCATAGACACCTGGAGAAGCTGCAGGATTAAAAAAAGCCATGGAGATGGCTCAGTGGTAGAACATCTGCTTGGAATGCAGAAGGCCACAGGTTCAATACCAGCATCTCCAGTTAAAAGGATCAGGTGATGTGAGAGAGCTCAGCCGAAGACCGTGGAGAACTGTTGTGCAGGCAGAGTAGACCCTATTGGCTAGAATAGAAGGATCAGGTGATGTGAGAGAGCTCAGCCAAAGACCGTGGAGAACTGATGTGCAGGCAGAGTAGACCCTACTGGCTAGAATAGATCATCAAGGTCTTTTTCAGTATAAGAGAGTTTCATGTGTTCGTTTTATTGTACATCCAATCACCCCATTGCATTTTCCAAGTGCAAGATGCTGCAACTTATATTGCTGTGTGCAAATATCCTCCTGTGAATGAGTAAAGAAAATGTTTGCCAGAAACTCTGCTAGTTTGTTATGTTAGGACCTCTAGGACAGAACAGGAGCTTTCTCATATGAACCTGTCAGACTCTTGATTTATCAAGCTTGGTATTGCCTAATTTGATTGGCAGTAGCCCTGTTCATGTTATAGTGAATGCATGTACAACCTGCATGTATACCTGTTTGTGAGAAAGAATCAGTGCGCGGTCAGTTTACAAATAAAACTGGGGACCAGTACCTGGATAAATGTGGGGTTTGAAACCACACATTCAGCTGTACACATACAATGTAATACATATTACATCGAATGTAATATGAGAATGTATGCAACACTCATATAAAGAAAAATCAAGTGTATCATGAACAGGTTATTGTTCTCCAAGTTCTCAAGCAGAGGTCTTTCATATCACCAGTACCTAATCCTTTTATCTGGACATGTTTTGGATTGAACCTGGGACCTTCTGCATTTAAAGCAAACGTTCTACCACTGGGTCTCAGTCCCTGTCCTGTCCTGTCCCCTTTGCTCAATTGCCCCAGCATTTTCAAAGCTATTCGATGTTCATCTGGAGTTAAATGGCTCCTTAGAACCATTAAAAAGTGGATAGGTGAATGGAGTGCTAATAAGCTGTATGCAGGACAGAATTGGCCATATGCAGCTAGATCCCCACTACTGTATTAGTTATACACGGGAAATACAGAGTTTCCTCTGAAAGAGATCTTCAAGGAAAGGAACATCAAAGGACGTTGATGCTTCTTTGAAGACATGAAGCTTACACAATATCAAGTCAGTGACATTTCAGAAGTGAAATATGAATGTTTACATTGTGAGCCTTTTTAAATACATATCTTGTGGTCCTATGATTGCACTAGAATGTGGTAGTGGATGCCAAATTCAGATCCCATCTTTCACCCTTCTCCAAAACTTTCAGTGTGAAAGAAAACCAGTTAAATGTTTTGTGTGGAATACTGGCCCACAGAATGTTGAGCTTTACGTACTCTGTTTTTAATTATCGCAAGCCATTTTGAGGACCTATGTTAAGTCAAAAGGCAAGCTTATTTTAAATAAGGAAATATCCTCGCAAAAACTTTTCTAATCTCTTTCAGGAGAACAGGGAAATGAAAGTATTTTCAAATTAGCTATAAACATTTGTTCCCAGAATAACTTACTGGGTTTTGATGATAAGAGCTACACTTTATAATGTTTTTGAGGCGTTTAAATTGCATAATGACACTTGAGCATGAGGTAATATACAACAGCACTAGCAATATACAGCCTAATAAGCAACCTGTTAACTTGTCACGTTGGTACTGTGACACACCCAACCCAGCCCTCATCTTCAGCACTTACTTAGAAAACATCTTTGTCTATGTGGATTTTGTTTTTCACTTTGTTCTGTATTCTAGAAATGCTTTGCATAAGTGCGGGGACTAACTGCTATTCATCGTGTCACCCTGGGTTTAGAAAACGTTTATCGTTGCAAGACTCATAAGAATATAAGAATTAATAGAACTTTCAGTGCAACCTGGATCAGTCTTGTAAAATTTATCCTGCTGTGGTTTGTTTGGGGGGTGGGTTACTGTGAAAGCAAAGATTACAAATGGAAATGTTTAGTTTGCCACCGTGTCACTGCACCCATTCTTCAACAGCTTTCCTTGGACTTTCCCTTCCAATGGTGTAAGAGAGTGCAAGCTTTCAGATCACACATCACTCTTCATCAGGCAAATGATTAGGGGGAAGCAGACAGCTAATCACAAAACTCTTAACTTTTCAAACAATTATTGTGCACTTTGTTGATCAATAGAATGCTGTGGTCAGAATATGCGTAACATATTGTACCATCTGTGTTTGAAGAGGTAGAGATTTGAGATTAGACCCTGAAGGAGCTAAATATATTTGGTTTAATGCATAACTTTTCTTCTCTATATTGCCATTATTTCCTGTTCTTCCTGCCCAGTTAAGACACCTGCCAACTCAAAAGTTTGCATATCTCACACCATCAGAAGTTAGTTCAAGGATAATGCCATTTTATCTAAACTGAATGGCAAACACTGTCAGAACATGTGGCTTGCCTTCAAGTTAGTTCAAGGATAATGCCATTTTATCAAAACTGAATGACAAACACTGTCAGAACATGTGGCTTGCCTAGACGTCACAGACTTCATTGCAGGAAGGTTATGTAATGAGCAGGGAATAATTTATGGTTCGCTCCCCAAATCACCATATATTGGCGTGGGACACTGCATTGCATTCTGCTTCAGCTAACCTGCACTTATTTGCATGAACCTCAGTCAAGGAACTTCTGGGAGCATGAGAGTTCATATCTGCCTTTCATCCCAAGGATCCTTTGCCATGGGCAAATTGTCCACTGAATATTAACCATACTGATTATGTGGAGGAGTGTGAGAAGGCATCATCCACACAGTACTTTTGGTACAGGAAAACCCTGAATATCTCCCCATCTATCGAGGAAAGTGGGAGCATCCAATGGGAGCTAGCAGTTTGTCTGATCCTGGCATGGCTGGTGGTCTATCTGTGCATTCTCAGAGGAACAGAGTCCACAGGCAAGGTAGGAAGACTACTGCAATTGATTCAAATTATTATTAGGGGCTGAAGTATTGAGCTGTAACAAACATGAAGTGAATTAAAACCAGTTTGGGTTTAATCCTTGTCTGCTAAAGAAACACCAACGTTGTTGTTGTCTGAGAAAAAAATGCAGACATCCTGACCTGATGATTATATTATTAAAAAACGAACGCACAAGGCAGCGTTTCTTAACTCTCAAGAGGGTTCCATTGCTTTAAGCGGAGGGCCCTAATATGTACATGTATACCAAGGGATGCATGTGCAGATCATTCTTTTCAGCGTAACGTAAGGGGCACCCTGCCTATAAACAGATCTGTGTGCTCACCTGAGCATACCTGGATCGCTCTATTAAGGTGAGCAGAACTGAGACAGCACTGGTCACTACTCTGATCTCCTGTGAGGAAGAGGGGGATTAAGAGTGTACTATTAAAGAAGCAGCCCAGGCTAGCCTGATCTCATCAGGTCTCAGAAGCTAGGTGGGGTTGGCCCTGGTTTAGTGTTTGGATGGGAGACCAGCAACGAAATCCAGGGTTGCAACCAAGGCTCCCTCTAAGCTGTGGAGTCTTGTGAGCAAAAATTCTACTTTGTGAGCTCCTGGCATTAAAGTTGTGAGCGAGCGATTTGGCTGCTGCATAAATCAGTTTGCTCTGGAGCCCTCCTTTCCTGAGCGAAGACAAAAACGTGTGAGCCGGAGGCTAAAAAACTGTGAGCCGGCTCACACTAACTCAGCTTAGAGGGAACACTGGTTGGAACCCAGAGGCATGCAATGGCAAGCGCCTCTGAAGATCCCTTGCCTTGAAAATCCTGTGAGGGTTTGCCATAAATTGGCTGCGACTTGATGGCCCTCCCCACCACCATGAAACAAACTCTAGTAAATGTCCAAAATTGAAAATACGGCTTTCGGGGCATGTGCTTTCACAAGTGAATTTGAGATGTGACAATTTTACCTCCCAAATACTACTTCAGCAGCGACGACAACATTAGAGCAGTTAGCATACCACTCCCTTCCATCCCTGTCCCCCCAATCCATGGTATCTGTCTCTTCCTCATGGGCTCAAAAGATTACATGGGGAAGATTGGTTTGTTTGACAGCAAAGAGATTTGAAGCCTTTTCTTATATGGAATGAACTCACCCCCAGAATTGGAGCATGGGCGCACACAGGTTCCTCAAAAACAAAATCCATCTCCATAGCCAGCATGATAAAATTGTTAAGAGCAGTGGGACTCTAATTTGGAGAACCAGGATTGATTCCCCACTTACTTCTCCATGTGAAGCCTGCTGGGTGACCTTGGGCCAGTCACAGGTCTCTCCACACTCTCTCAGCCCTAACTACCTCACAAGGTGGCTGTTGTGGGGAGAGGAAGGGAAGTCAATTATAAGTCACTCTGAGACTCCTTGGGGTAGAGAAAAGTGGGGTATAAAAACCAATCCTCCTTCTTCTAGCAGAACAGTTGTTCAGAATTTTAATGCATATTAAATTTAAATGGTGATCTGCAGCTCTAATAAATGTAGCTCTTTGGTGGTGCCTTTGCAGGTTGTGTATGTGACGGCTTCTTTGCCCTATGTGGTCCTCATCATATACTTAATCAGAGGCCTGACACTCCATGGAGCTACAAATGGACTGACATACATGTTTACGCCAAAGGTACATGTGCCGTCACTTGCTTGACAAATGTAACTGAAAAACCTTTCATTGTAAATGAAACGTACATTTCACCAGTATGTGTTTCTCATCCTAGAGGTATAGGCCCATGAAATAGCTACAAAACCTATCTTTCATATAAACACAACCCAAGTAGAAAAGAAAATAAGATAGCAATAGACTAAATAATCTGAAAGCACGAAACCGGATTTCCTCTTCCCTGGCATGTCGATACCACCTGGTATCTGCTGCAGGAATGAGTGCTCTGTGTACACACTGAGGTCTTTTGTCCACTCACTTCAACGTGAAAGCAGAACAGCATTCTCGACAGAAGTGAAATGGAGCAGCAGAAATGGCGCAGATCTCTGTGTGTAGAATGTGTAGCACATGTGTAGAATGCGTAGAATTTGGCACATTAACACGCTGGTTGCCAACACAAGGTTAGCAGGATCATAACACGGTTTTAAAATTCTTATTTATTTATTTGTTCGGTTTATATCCCGCCCTCCCCACCAAGGCAGGCTCTATGAGCTGTTAACCTTCATGGCTTCTAACTTGGAGTTGCTTTAACTTTACATGACATTTTGCAATATAATTCCCTGGAGAGATTTCTTATACACACAGATGACTACATATTGCAGTGATCACCCGTAGAACTTGGAGTCAGTCACACCCGTCATAAAACCAGAAATCAGATTAACAACAGATGTTGAGGATCTCCCTTTAACTGCAACAGGATCTAGTGAGCTCAGCTATGGGAAATATTATTGAACGGCAAAGCCAGAAAGAGAAGATTGCTGAGACCTAAAAGGAAGGAGGACTATACTGTTGAGTTAGAACGAAGAGTTACAGATCCCAGGTGCTCGCCCACAATGCTGAGACATCTGAGACTGGCTTGATTTTATTGGAACTAAGGCTGCAGTTCCCGTTCATGCTTGCTTGGGAATGAGGCCCATTGGCCTCAGTGGCATTTACGTCTTCGTAAACGTACATAGCCTGGGTAGCCCGATCTCATCAGATCTTGGAAGCTAAGCAGGGTTGGCCCTGGCTAGTATTTGAATGGGAGACCTCCAAGGAATACCAGGGTCATGATGCGGAGCCAGGCAATGGCAAACCACCTCTGAAACGTCTCTTGCCTTGAACACCCCATGATCAGCTGTGACTTGACAGCACTTTCCACCACCAAATGCACCTGTAAACAGCTACTACTGAAGTTGTGGATTTTACCAGATAGGGAAAGCAGGCTGTGTCCATATTGCTCATTCTGTAGTCCATGGCCATACAAATGGGAATGGCCATGACCTAGCCTACAGGCACATTGAGAGGATCAGTCAGATGCTGCATAACAGTGCCAGTCTCATTTCTGTGGGCCTTACAGCTAGAGCAACTAGCAAACCCCAAGACGTGGATTAACGCAGCGACTCAGATCTTCTTCTCTCTCGGGCTTGGCTTTGGAAGCCTAATCGCTTTTGCCAGCTACAACCAGCCAAACAACAACTGCGAGCGGCACGCCATCATTGTCTCGTTAATCAACAGCAGCACCTCAGTCTTTGCCAGCATTGTGACGTTCTCTATTTATGGTTTCAAGGCAACCCACAATTACGAGAACTGCATAAGCAAGTAAGATTCACTTTTTGTTTCAATCCTCTGCTTTTCACCTGCAACTGAAAAGGTATTGCAAACAGCCTTACTTTTGTTTAATGACAAGATGGCAAAACCGTTTTTGGAGGGCATCGTTTCCTGTCATCTAATTTGGAGCTTTGGCATGAGATGATGGGAAAGCATCCAAGTGTGCAATTAACCCACTCAAGAGGAGAACACACATTTTCCCCTCATCACAGCATTACAGTAAATGATGCATTCAGAGCTAGTTCTGATCCTTGTGGGTGCTTTCAAACATTACAGATTCATGTTGTCAGCCCAGTATGAGGGCTCTTAAACATGGTTTTGCCACACACAGAGACTGGAAATGGATGAATGGTTAATTTCTGATCATTTTTGAGCCAAGTTAGACACTGATCTCAATTTTAATTTGCTTTATGGTTTATTATTATTTTTAAGTCATCAGATTGTTTTGTGGTGCCAGAAACTACCTTATAAGAATATTGCTTCTTGCTCTCTTAATTTAGTGTCTAAATTAATTCTGTTGACAGGGTGATCTTGCTTCTTACAAATGCCTTTGAATTGGAAGAAGGATCAATAACGGCAGCGAACCTTGAATATATGAAAAATTATCTAGCATCTGCTCATCCCAGTGAATATACAGAACTGTCTCCACAGATAAGGAACTGCAGCTTGGAAGCTGAATTAAACACAGTGAGCTGCTTTAAAAAATTGTTTGAACAGAGTAAAGCTCATTTTTAGGATGTTAAAAATGCATAACAGCAACCAGTTTGTTGTTGGTGTCTTATGCTTTAAATTTATTATGGAATATCTACCGTAACTTTTCTAAAACTCACAAATTTGACTAAGGACCCTTTCTATGTAAATGTAACCTGAGACCAATTTGCTTTATGGTTTATTGATTTCAGTCAAATCAATATACCTTGAATTAAACTTTGTTGGTCTTAAAGGTGCCACTGGACTCAAACTTTTTACTGAGTGCAAGCTTGTGATATATGGAAGTATTCTTAAAGCGACTACTATAGGTTTGGACTGCAGAGTTTTTTTCTTCGCATCAGCCATTCACATGTGGTTAGTATTCTTAAAGCGACTACTATAGGTTTTGACTGCAGCGTTTTTGGAGGTTTTTTCTTAGCATCAGCCATTCACATGTGGCTATACAAGTTTATTTACTTATCACACCGTATTTGTGTGTGCAGGAAAGCATGCTGCAATGCGCATGCAAATTATTAGACACAATCCAGCCAAAGTTGATGCTGTACAGAAACAGTCGTAAAGTGCACAACGAATGCTCAAAACCCAATTTATTTCAATGGGATGTAGTTGCCACTGGATTGTATCATTAAGGTGGAAACTGGCTGATGACATCCACGTCAGCTTCAGAACTTGACAAGAGAAAAGAGAGCTATGTATGTGGCCCTCTGACACATCCAGAGCTGAATATATGCTACCACACCACTGGATTACAAAGGATGAGTTGTCAAATCGATCAAGTTTGTTCAGCTCTGACTACGTTGATCGTGTGCATCCCCCCCACCCCCAGCAATTAATGCACTCCAGGGCTGACAGCACACACTTTTTCCAATTTGATGAGAGAGTGTCTTGGGCTCACAGCTAGATCAATGTTGTTTTACGTATTTGTAGTATGTGAGATACTTGCTACTCATGAACCTGTTTACTTCCATTTTCTGGCTGTTGTTCACAGACCTACTGCATCTTCTGGGCATGGAACAGCGGTCACTGTGGGTGTAGAGGGGGAGGCATTTGTGAATTTCCTGCTTTGTGCAGGGGATTGGACAACATGACCCTGGAGATCCCTTCCAGCTCTATGATTCGAAGATCTGTATTTTCAGGCACAGTCCCAAGAATATGCATGGTATTGTTTTGGCTCAGCCAGGCTGTGATGCCTTTAGTAATAATGTAACACAATGAGGGCCCATCTCATGAGGTGGGCACTGTGCCACAGTACAGAGCCTTGCCAGCCAACAGCTCAAATTAATTAACTGGATCTATTCTCAAGAATAAATATTAACTACTGATAGGCAAGTGTCCTGCCAATCAGATTTCTAAGTTTTCACCCACAATAATAAAAGCGGCAGCCAATCTGTGGACAGTTCTTTCTAGTCAGGTATCACCCTCCAATCAATTGTTGCTTTGGCCATGGCAATGCATTGTCCATAATTTTACTGTTTGGTCTTCCTTCCTCACGGGCAGGCAGTCCAAGGGACTGGATTAGCATTCATAGTCTATTCTGAAGCAATAAAGAACATGGAGGTCTCCCAGCTGTATTCAGTGCTCTATTTCGTTATGCTGCTGATGCTGGGGATAGGCAGCATGCTAGGGAACACTGCAGCCATCCTCACGCCTTTGACGGACAGCGAATTCCTTTCCACTCACGTGCCCAAGGAGATGATCTCTGGTAAGCTGGCTATTTCTTACATGAACCCCAAACAGTAAAAGTCACCTAGGTGTCCGGATATGTTTTGCGCCTGTAAGGGAGTGTTGTGGGAGCATGCTGCCACACGTGTTGCACCCTAATTGCATGCATGGCCAACAGTGGCACTTCTAGACATCCTCGCTTCAAGACTGCGGACGCTGTTCTGCCTATGGGTGTCCTGCACATGGCAAAGGTCAGCGCGCGGTATTGCTTGACATCAGCATCTTTCAGGGGTGTCCTGCACATGGCAAAGGTCAGCGGTATTGCTTGACATCAGCATCTTTCAGTTCCAAAATGGTCCCTTTTTCTGTATGCCTCCTTTTGCTTTGGAAATGAGGTGCAGACATCAACATCATGTTAACTGCTTTGGTCAACTGCTGAAGCACTCACACACTACAATAGCATCAGTCAGCCCACCCTTTGAACACTGACCGCTTCCACAAGTGGAATGAAGAGTGGGTACTTTTTAATCTCGAGTGTCGTACTTTTCTTCCCACCGAGACTGCAACTGCTTGTTTTGCTTTCGCAGGGGCCGTGTGTTTTGTCAACTGCATCATTGGCCTCGTGTTCACCCTAGAGGCCGGCAGCTATTGGTTCGACATCTTCAATGATTATGCAGCTACCCTGTCCTTGCTGCTCATTGTATTAGTGGAAACGATTGCTGTTTGTTATGTTTATGGGCTAGGAAGGTAAGAGCACCCGTCACATCACTGTACAATTAGTCTACACAACATTCTGTTCGTTTCTATCCAGGTATCCCTATTTATATGCCTGCTATTATACCTCAGAAGCCAGGAAGCTGAAAATTCCTGGCATCCCTTCAAAAATGTGCAGGGTTTCTCTGTCTGCAATATACGTATCGCCTTGTTTCGATCAGGAATGGGGTAGAACCATTTGAGCAACAGAGCACTGCTCAATTTTTATTATGTTATACTCCATCTTTCTCCCCTACAGGGACCCAAAGCTGCTTGGCATTGTTCTTGCACTCCGCCATTTTACGGTCACAGCAGTTTGCCTGTGAAAGAATGATCAGCCAAAGGTCACCTAGAGCAGATTTGAACCTGGAACTCCCAGCTTCTAGCTCCCCACCCTGATGGCTCATTGTGCTCCTTTCTTTGACAGATTTGCGGAAGACCTGACCGTGATGACAGGCCATAAACCAAGCTGGTACTGGAAAATTATGTGGGCTTTTGTTAGTCCTGTGCTAATTGTAAGCCTATTTATATTTTACATCACTGACTACATCAGCACAGGGACCCTGAAATACCAAGCGTGGGATGCAACAGAGGTATTTTACTCACGGCTGTTTGAAGAAACTAACCAGCAGTAGGCTGAGATCTACCAGCTAGGGAAAAGTATGGAGACCAGTGCTAGTAAATTTTGAAAACAAAATGCTGTAAGTTAGCTGTTTAGCTTGTGAACTGCGAAGGACAATAGGAAAATTGATCTTAAGTAGGTGTAGCTTTGGTACATTAGAGGCACAATTAGAAAGTTGCACTATATAAGGGAATACCTAAAGAATTTTCAGTCATGTCTAATAACTCAAGAAACTCTAGTATAAGGGTGCAACAGCTATTTTTTAACTCCGCCAATTAGGTGAGGGCCATGCAAAAAATGATAAAAAGGAACAAAAATTAGGATATTTCCCTTCTCTCTCTCGTGCTGTTTGCTCTGAATCTCAGCAGCAAAGTGCTACAGTTCAGCAG